AGCTGTGACCAACCTACAGTTTTTGGAGGAAACAACACTGGCAGTGCTCCTTCACCTCAGGACGTACATGTAAGGAGATGGCTGAACTGAGTGCACTGCTATTATCTTCCTGCAAGCTTTCTGAGAGCTTTACCATTAACTAAGCCTTCCTATCATAAAGTGGATAGCCCATAACTCATATACAAACATTTCTCATAACCACCTCACAGTTTCTGCATACATTCCTTCAGAATGGAAAATGCACTGGATTATGTCCATTACTTCCAGCACATCTAGACATTTTGCAGACAGTGGCATGCCCCTGCTGCGCAAATACAAGTTGTATTCTATGAGCTTGTTTCAAGATCTTGGAGTCCCATTGTCCTCAGCAAGGGTACAGGCACACTATAGAAAAATTCCCTTTCTCCACATTTTTATCTCTATTTGGCGTTAGCATGTAAATGGGGAAAATACTTATAATTTGTTCATCTCTTTTATATTATAGCTCTACTAGTATATGGTTTTGTATTATTTTTGGCTGGGATAGAGTTAATTTTCTTCATAGAAGCTGGTATGGTGGTATGTTTTCTGTTTGTGTTGAAAACAGTGTTGATCATACAGGGATATCTGAGTTACTGTTGAACAGTGCTTACACAGAGTAAAGGTCTTTTCTGCTCCTCACCCCACCCCACCAATTAGTAGGCTGCAGGTACACAAGAAGCTGGGAGAGGACACAGCCAGGACAGCTGACCCGAACTGAGCCAAGGGATATCCTAGACCATATGGCATTAAGCTCAGCAATAAAAGCTGGGGGGAAGATGAAAAAAGACGGGAACATCCAGAGATGCAGTGTCTTCCCAAGTAACAGTTATGTGTGATAGAGCCCTACTTTCCTGGAGATGGCTGAACGCCTGCCTGTCAATAGGAAGTGGTGAACAGATTCCTTGTTTTGCTTTGCTTGCAAATGTGGTTCTTGCTCTACCTATTAAGCTGTATTTCCCTCAACCCATGAGTTTTTTTCAGTTTAACCCTTCTGATTTTCTCCTTCATCCTGCTGAGTGAGGGAGCAGCTGTATGGCGCTGAGCTCCCTACTGGGGTTAAACCACAACAATTTTCCATACTAAAGGAATTTAAAAACTAATTACTGTGTTTGAAATGGGCTGATTTAAATAAAAGTGAGCAGGAGATGGGAGCAAGAACAGTGTTTTAGATCTGAAAAGGAACTTCTGCGTGTAATTTCCACTGATGTCAACACATGCACACTTCCCATTCTGTACTGAGCAGCAGGGTTGCTAAATCCAAGTATATTCTGAGAAATTCCCACTGATCAGGGTATTAGAAATGATGGCATCCAGAAAAATTGTCTCAAATCAAGTATGAGGATGTAAGGCTCTGTTCAAGAACGAAACTGGAAAACTACAGTATAATAACCAATTTACATTTCATTATAATGTGTTTCATTTACCTATCTACTGACTCCATGCTTACATGCCTTCCAATTCACTTTCATATTGCTGATAGGCCACCTAATTTCACACTGGCCTCTTCTGGTAGCACAGGCTCCTTTTAGAAGCGTAGCGCTCTTAATCGTATGCTTCAAGTCCCTCCTCATAACCCTCTGTTACCATTCTTTCCTATGCAAACTCCTTGACAAAATAGAACTATTAATAGGAAATTTTGCAGACAGGCATGACAAACATTAAAAATCCAGAAACGTTTATTGATGCCTTTTTTCTTAGGGTAGGATTCAAAATTTACTGAAATTTATTACTTTTTCCATCACCTACTTACTTTTGCTTCAGAGTTCAGAAGCATATAGATACAAATATGCATATATTTAAATACCAGACTGTGTGATACAAGTTGGAGCAGGTTTTTTTATCAAGTACTGATTTACCAGCCCTTGTGGATCATCTCCAGGGTCCACTGATATCAGTGGAATGACACCGTGTGTACCAGGTGCAACAGCAGCTCTAAGAAAGCTTTGCCTCAGAAAATTCAATATATATACATATATATTTAATTAATTCAACAGTTGGCATAATTTTCACAAGCCAGTCTGCCATTCCAGTTTCCAGAGTATTACAGCTGCTTGGATAATAGCATACTAACAGCTGTCTACAAATGGCATATAAAATATAAAATATGCCATTTGTAGACAGCTGTAGAATATAAAAATCCCAACACATTAAGGACAGCTACACATGTAATTACTGCATATGTTTATAGAAGTCTGCTGATAGAAAAATATTTGTATTGAGGAAGAAAAATCACCTATTAGGAGACAAGTAAAACCAAAGACTTTTAACTCCTACTCCCCTAGGAGCTTTTACTGACTCAGTTAATGGTCATAGCCCTGCTTTCTCACTGCACATGCTGAATGTAGATACTTGCAAAAGACTGTACATAAGTCTGGTCTCATTGTATAACTGTCATAGCATTGCTTCTCTGCAGAAGGTGGCATCTGAGATTTACAGCCATAGCTGTACAGCAAAATGTTCTTAGAGATAGAAGATGAGGCCACAGCCTATTAAAATAGATAGATACACTAAAAGTGAGGGGATATTTCATCCTTAGGTAAGGAAATATATAGTCTGTAATTTAGGTGGGTTGAACTCCAGATTAGGACACCTAGGATTAAATGTCTGCATGGGAATTATATGTCAAAGCTGCCATGGAGCTCTGGAGCTCTGGGGCCCATTCATTTCAGAAGGCTAGCACCCTTCCAGATCCCTTGGGAAGCATACTCAGCTCTCAGCTGTCATAATCAAAGAATTGGAGTGTCTCACAAACCTTCAGTTGTTTTTGCCAATCCAGTATGGCCATTTTACATGCCCTGTGAACAATTTGCATAAAGTACCTATTTGTAGGCAGAGGAACCCTACTCCCCACTGACAGTGACATTCTGATTTAAGACGTGTCTAATTCACTGAATGAAGTGAACAACTCTCTGGGATCTATTGACTCTGTTGACTGGAAGAGGAGTAAATACATCTTGTTCAACTACAAGCAGATTCTTAAAGTAGATGAAGTGTTCTGAACTTCAGTGCTAGGGGCAGACTTTGATTCAGTTGTCCATACACGGTTATAAAATACCATTTGATAAGACTTATCACCAAGACTGATAAATATGACACTGGACCTACCTTTCTGAGTAACAGCTGGAGGACATGTAAATTATCCTAAGGCGTCTAAAATGGCTCAAAGCAGGTTTTTTTTCTGTGAGCAAATGAACTAAGCCCTTTTAACAGTATCTTAATAATTCCGCAAGAATTTATCATACTTTTAAGATAATGTGGATTGTTATTAATATTGCCATAGCTTATGGAAGCTTCAGAAAATCGTTAAACATCTTACCACTTAGAATAACAGTGCTTTGTTACATACAATCAGTTAAGAAAGATCAGTTCTACTTCAGTCAGTCTTTCAAGCAACCTTTCATCTTATGGTGCTCTCCTCTAACAATGGACCTTTTTGCTCCAAACTTGGTTTTATAAGTTAAATCTTTTACATGTTTAAGTTTCTACTTACAATAATTGTACTCAAGAAAGCAGATGACTGCTGTGTGGTTAAATATCATATCTAGGTTTCTCTCCTAATTTTCTCCTTGAAAATGTAAATATTATGTATATATTCCTTAAAAGCAATCTCTCAGTAATTATATTGTACTTTTAAAATAAGATAATAATTTCAAACTTTAATGACAGATCTCTCAGCTAAATAAATACTACATTATGAAGAAAGCTAAACTTAAAGATGAACTAAAATACTGATATTTTACTGAAAGTCACAAATATAAATCCACGTGTGGACATCTGCACAAATGATCAGGGTTTTTACATCTGTCTCTAAAACCCGTGGGAGCTGCAGGCTGTGTAATACAGTGGACCACTAACGACATAGACCAGAATCCCTTCATGGTAGGCACCATGAAAACACTGAGTAAAAAAACAGCGCTGAACCTAAACAATAAATAGGAACTATGTACACAAAATCCAGAGAGGTTGCAGTAAGGGTAAGGCTTTTGAGTTAAGCAATAAAGGATTGTCAAAGAAAGAATCAAATAGTTACAGGCAAGAGAAGGAATAAAAAGTACACATTTTACCTCTAATGTAGAACTAAGTACAAAACACAGTCAGGTTGGTTTAGTTAACTAAAGGGTACAGAAGTTCAACTTAGGTCTGCCTGGAGAAGGGTGACAAATTAGGCACATCGGTTTGACATATATGAAGTAACTGAGTTTTATATTAGTGATTATATAATAAGAGATTTGCTCTGGCATTGTAGTCATGCTCAAAATGAGATTCCCCCTCAAAGCTCCAAGAACACCCTTGCTTCCTTCTAACCTAATATCTAAAATGGCAGCAAAATTTATCCCTAATACAATGGCCATGTTCTCTTCCTTAATTTCTTTAAAGCTATGAAAAATGTTGTCACTGAAGTTCTCTTATTTTTGCTAAGTTTATAGAAAATTGGGCGTTATATTTTTTTTGTCAAATATGTGTATTCCATTGTTTTTAATTAATCTGCTGTTTTCTACATATATTATTTTGCACAAACATTTTCATTACCAACTTATTAAAAGTGCTCTGTTTCTATGGAACTGGTTCCTTAAATTCTTCAGTTCCATGTTCTGTGAGAATTAACAATGTGTTTGACATGTTTGAAAATCAGGGCTATTCAGATGTGTATTACAAAGTCTATCCTAAGACAATTCATCCAAAGTCAATCAATAAAACAGTAGAAATTTGCAGTTATTGTCATTCATACTTTTTTCTCTAAAATTTCCTGTGCATTATAGATTCAGATTCAGGTCTGTATCTGCTAGGACTTGCATCCCAAAAATCATGTGTCTTGATTTCCAGTTATCTAAAAATATATGTGGAAAGGTTATTTTTCAAAGTAATAATGAAATGCAAAAGGAACAGAGAAATGCCATGACAGAAAGCTGTATTTCAAATCTTGCTGACCTAGTTTAAATAATATGCATAAGTGAAAAGTATAAGCCAAAGTTACTCACCTACGATGAGTAAGAAAACTACCACTGACATGTCCTGAGCCATCACATCCTGGGGTTGGACATGACATTCCTTCCGTCTTCACTGACTTCCAAGAGAACTGTGAGCCATTTAGGTACCCATCCTTTTGCCTTTTGGCAGCTAGAGGACACCCTGACGCACTGCGATGGGACGCATATTTTCCAGTTATATGACCCTGACCATCACAACCAGGAACTGGACATCTGGATAGCAGATAGATGAGATAAACTTTATTGTCTTGCCATCATATACCTGGTTGCCTCTACAACAAAGTCAAAATAAACCCGACATGAAAAGAACAATCATGCACTGTGGTCTTAAAAATAGTTAAGATACCCTGTAGTGGGTAAAATTATAAGCAGAACTCTACTAATATGACAAAAATATATTCTTTGAAACACTAGGGGGAGGCTAACTGGTAGACAAACTCACGGCTTTGTTGATTTTGTGAATTGCAACAAAAGGACTGAGATATATATTTGAATTGCAGGCGTTCATGACACTAAATATCACACTGGAATTGAAATGTTGGCTACTGAGCTCCACTCAGCAGGAAAACTGCCCATAAAAACTCTATAAGTTTTTATAAGTATAATCCTTGGTGCATTTTATTTATGTGCATGGAATCTAAAGAAGAATTGTCTGAAGTTATGAAAATGTTTTAACAGTTAGGTATGAAGTGATCATAACACCTCATCAGAAATGCTGAGCACCTTTAACCACTCCCTGAATAGGAGAGATTGTAACAAACTCTGTGTTACAGCCTAGAGAGATCAATGAAAGCAGTTCTGTGTTCATCGGATGGATTTTCTTACTCAGGAATTCCCTCATATATTTCCCCTGTATACTTCTAAAAACAAATGACCAGGATTAGAAGGTTAGAAGTTAGAATCTTCAAAGTGAAATGTTTAAATGAGATAATGTTTTTTTCAGTATGCCGTTATAGAACACATATCAAAACTGGGCTGGTTACTTCAGTGTTTGTCCTACACTAAAATACTGCTGCAACTGTCCACTAAGGATCCCACCTTGAATGGTGTAAGCAGTCACTAAGTCCACTGAGTTCAGTGGCTGCTGATACCAGAGCATGTTGCAAGAAGAAACCAAAAAACCGATAGGTAGGCATTTGTTCCACATGTAAACTGCATAGACAGATTTGCTGCAGCAATCTCATATGAACAATCAAGAACTACTTTATTTAGCATGTATGGTTTGTCTATAGTATGCAAACACATTTAAGGGGATTTATTCTAGGAGAAAAAGATCTAGATAATTTTTTAACTTCATGTGAAAAACATATTTTAAATTCTCAAAATTATAGAAGATTGTGCCCTTGGCTGAATATTGTATCCTTTGCTGACTAAATCAGCACAGATCCTTGATTTGCAGTTCACTCACAGAAATCAGTGGGCCATCTGCTCTTGGATAACTATCATGCAGTAACATTTATGCTCTTATAAAAAGCTGAAGATATATATGACATTATAAAACACATGAAGGCCCTTTGACAATATTTGTGCTCACCTAATTGGCTCTTGGTCTTCTTTGTCTTCCTTGCTTTGTGCTATCCTGATTCCACTTTTCTTTGCTCGCGGACAACCTGAAAGACTGAGTGAAAGAAAACAGTTGAAAACGCTATTTCTCACTCTTGGGTACAGTTTACAAGGGATATGTTTTCTATCTGAAAACCAGGCAGAATAGGTAATCCTGCCCAGTTTTCAAAAGCAGAGCTCAAGTAGTTTAAATAAGGAGAGCTGCAGAATGCAACCACAAGGGGGAATCCGCGTATCTCGGTTTGTGATGCCAAACAGGACCGCAGGCACTGTGCATACCACACGCACAGGCATCCCTGGGGAGCCAGGGAAAGCAGTTCTTCCTAATAATCCTACCAGCTGACTCAGCAGCAGCAGCGACAGCTTTAGAAGGAATAGAAGCCAGTGCTTCAGGGCTGACAGACAGTATGTCCTCTGTACCTCTGAGAGGTACAGAATAGGCTCAGAAAACAGGAGTTCTTGGATCTATTGGTAGGACTAAAGATTTCTCCAGGAAGCAAATCAGAAATGCTATCAAACCTTCCCAAACATCTTGGAAGAATCCTATAGGATGGTTGAATAAAAACATAGCAGTGCTTAGAGCTGTATAGTGCCTTCCTGTGAAAAGAGTTTAAGTGCTCACAACTCACCCAGACAAAAAGATTTGATAAAGACAAATTTGTATGTTAGCCTAAGCAATGTTACATTTAAATAGACACAGAGAATGTTGGGTTTAACTACACAAGACAGAAAATATATACCTATTCCAAGATTTTATAAGCTCAGATTTCCCTTTGAGTATGAAGAATTCATTATAGAAACTATTAAGCAAACGTGACAATGACTTTAATGGATACTTAAAAATTTTAAGTAGTTGCTATCCAAGGACACAAATATGTCTACCAAAAAAATCACTCTTTTTCCTCTACTTAAATGTGACTTCCATCTTAACACCAACATTAAAAAAAAAATTCATCAATAGAACACCACCTTCAAAAGTATTCAGATGAGAAACAAAGTAGTGTCACCGAAGAAAAATGTCCACAGAGAAAGAAACAAAAATAGAAGATTATGTTTTTGTTTCAGCATAACAAAGGGTACTTCAGTGTATATAGTAGGTCCTGTCTTCAGGAAGAAGAGACAGATATGGTGGCAGCAAAATGTTCATTTTGTCTTGTAAAGGCCAGTGAGGACTTAAAGGAACAAGTAGAGAAAAGGGTGATGCTATCACAGACAGAATTCTGTGTTGGTGAATGAAAAATAGAAATAGAGTTTACATGGTACAAAGTCATAAGCAAGTCAAAGTAACGGAGGAATGCCAGCAGAAGATATTGGACATAGTGTATTACCTAACAAATCCTAGTGAGATGGCATGGCTATACATGCAGTGATAAATGGAAGGGACCTAAGACTCCTGTTCTGATCCAGGACCAGCAAGCTCTTGGGTTGGAACAGTACATCTGTCCAGCTAAATTCTTCTTCTGGTAAAGCAGAATAGCTATAGCCATATTGCTTATAGAGAGTGATCTGGATCAACGCTGAGCTCCAAATCATATCTGAGAATTGCCTAGGAAAGTTTCAGTGGCCCAGGATTAGTACCATGCCAGGGGACACAGTAACAATTTAATAGTGTAGGCATCTGTACACTGATGCTTGGACCTGAGCTCTCATCCCATTTCATTTAGATGCAGCTGACCATTTTCCTTTTTAAAGCAAACTGCTGCTTATTAGAACTTGCATAGCGCACACCAAAGGACCATAGCTCCTTGTGTACAAAATAAACCTCAGAAAGCCTATGCCACTTAAATATAGTTTTATTTGAAGACAGTAATAAATAAAAGGAAGCTGGCTCTGGCTTAAGGGGGTAGTTTGGGAACAGGTTGGTTCACTGCTTCCCATACAACCTAGAGTGCTGGAAGTGAAGGGGAGAGGACAGGAATTACAGATATCCCTGGCTCATCTGTGAGCCTAGGCATACCCACAGTGTGAGAATAATCGGGTTTTGCCTCTGAAAGCTAAACAGTTAATAGAAATGCTTCAGAAAGCAATACTTTTTTTAGTAGGTGTACAGATGGGTATGCTTTTAGATGATGACATTTTCATAACAAAACCTGAATGAAGAATTTCTGCCTCGATTTAATGCTTTCTACATATTAAGTCAATTCAATTATCATCTACTTATTGGTATTTTGGTGCATCACCTTTTTGCAATAGGTCTTTCTATTTTGGCACTATGATTTATTAGAAAATTTTAAGACCATTCAGGTCCTCTAAACAGACATTTTTCAACAGACAGCTTCTGAGATTATGATTAACTTATTTTTCCTCTGACAGCAGATTCACCCGGAAAACATATGTCAAGGATGAACCTTTGCTTTAATTTTTTTTTTTTTTATTCTGTAATAGACAAAAGCTATTACAAAGTAAACATATTACTTTGTTTTTGTATCAGTTTAATTTCTTATATATGAAGACAAAATACAACAAGGGAAACTCAACACCCGTATTTGCTGATGTAAATTTCTGCACACACTGAATGGGTGTGTGGAACTGCAGTTAGGGCAGAGTTAAATGTGCCTTCACGTGTGCTTGCTGTTGAGCAGCCATTTTAAATACAGATGATACCCAGGCATCTTGGAAGCCATTTAGGAGAGAAGTTTGTCATTCCCTTCCTTCTGAAACCGAAACGGTTGTAAGTGATGGTACAGAATACAAGAAAAAATGCTAACTCAGATGCTAATTGTCAGTGTGGGAATTAGGAAACTTAACTGTGAACATGCTGTGAGGTCTTTCACACTTAACAGCTACAGATTTAGGCTACTGGTTTGCATGCATTTTGCCAGCCTCAGAAATGGCCTTGACAGATATCATGACCTTAACACTGCGGGGCTGGCTCTGTGCAAATATGACAGGCCTCCTGTGAACATTGGTGGTTTATGCAAAGAAGACATCACTCCTTCAGTGTCAGTGCCCCTGTGAAGGCAGGCTGCCAAAGTGGCCTTTTGGAACAGAAACAAAGGAATTATGTGGTCAATATAGACATGGTGGCATTTCAAAAGTTTTAATGCGCTAAATCTCAATGGACTGGGCAAATTCCACATCATTTAGTTTTGCAGAATTACTTTTAATATCTTTATGTGTACTGAGCATGCTGCAAAAACCAAATGAAAACTTGGTCCACCACTCATCATGCAAAAATACAAAAATGTAAGATTTTGCATATGAAAGTAGGCAAGCTCATTCAGTGGTTAAGAGACAGTGCCTAGGGAAAGGGTTTAAAAAACAGGCTGACATGCAGTGATTCTCCCCTGCGAACCTTGCCAGCTTTTAGGTTTCCTGTTTTTGACACTTTGCCTTCTGCATCTTCACTGTCCTGCCTGTTTCTGGTTAAATACATGAACAGATACATAAGCAGGTTCCTCAAATATCCAAGTCAGGCATAGCTTCACCAAGTATAGTGCTGGTAGAGTTGAGAGCTGATAAATCCACATAGTTAAATGTAGTTCTAAATTTGTCCTTAAATCCCTTTGGAAGTGTGATATAATCTCCTACATCTGTAAGTGCTTTTAAAATGTTTACATCTTCTCCTTTATGCTGTTATTTGTACTTTTTATGTTTAACTGTGCATTACAGAAATTGTTACTGTGATCTTTCATTTTTACCACATGCAAAGGTATGGCACATTCCCAATCTCTATATTATTTATGTTTTGACTTTAAACTGTTTGTTGCTTTTACTGGGAATACACTTAAACTGGGAATTTGTGTATTGATTAGTTATAGCCAATTGTAAAAGTACAGGGACTTGGTGAAGCAAGCAAATATCTAGACTCAACAGTGTAAGTACACATGGGAGTAAAGACCCTTTACTAACAAAAGAGAGGTGAGTTATATCATTATTTGTTGATTTAAGGAGTGGATACCTATACACAAAATATGGTGAAACTCTTCTCTACTGATCTATAGTTCTCATATAGCCACAAGTGAATTGCTAATTACAGCATTTGCTGAATTACCTCTATAATACTACCACCATAATTGATTTTGGGGTATGAAAAATACCCTTATTAGTAAGCGTGAAGCTTTCTTTGGCCCTTGGTAAGAACCAAAGTTATAATTTAGGCAGTTAAAGTAACAGCTTTCATCCACAAATTTCTTTCCGTTCTTCTGCCTTGATATAGTAAGGTACAGTGTGTTGTGATTTAAAAACAAGCCAGGCTTTATTATGAAATGTACCAACAAGACTGGTTCATATTAGATGAGAGAGTTACTTTTTCCCTCTGATTAAAGCCAGTAAGGCTTCGTCTGGGAGAGGAGGTAAAGAACTAGGTCTAGTTTTGCATTTCAAGAAATACACAGGGAGTCTGGAAGAGACTGACAGGAAAAACCAGGAAATAAAATTTGTGGGGGAAAAAAATCCCAGCAGAAACTTATGAATGTTAAATTGCTTCCCTGGGCTACCAGAGATGGTAGAAAAACTGGATTAATTTTCTACAAAGATTTTGCTAGATATTAGCAAAAATCTTCCTATCTAATTGAGTAGTGAGCCATGCTAAAATGAGAAATGTTATTCGTTGGTTAGACCAACCCATGTCTATGTACAACACTCAATCCCGCTTAAAGTACTGAGAGAGGGGATAGAGGTCTGTTGAGGTCCTTTCCAGCCCTTCAGTTTTTTGAGTTAAAGAACAAAACCTTCTCTTTACATACCTTCGATGTGAAGCATAATTTCCAGTAATATGCCCAGAGCCATCACACCCAGGGGTGGGACACCTAGAATAATATTGGAAGAGATATGGAGCAGTGTTACTGACAGAAAATACATAACTACCCATTAAAAAAACTGTTAATTGGCTCAGTCATCATTCACAGGTGCCAGCCCTGGTGACCTCTAGCCATTGCTAAACTTCAGCTTAATTCCACAGTGGGGACAATCATACTTCTTCCATTCACAAAATGTCTTTGATACTCCTCACCTGCCCACTCAAACACTTTCTGGATATCTCTAGTGCCTGCAGTTTAGTGGAGATTTCCAGCAGCAGCCTAACATTCCTGCACCACCAGGAATGAGTAGGGTTGGTAGCAAATGGAATATCCCCATGGTGTATTCTTAGGTAATGACTAAAATTACAGTGAGCCGTTTTGTTTCCCATCAGAGCTATTGCTCTAATCCCACACCAACGTGTCATAAGGTCACATGGTAGAGAGATCTCTCCACCTCTCCATAAAGTGAAAAAAATGTCTAAGGAGATGTGTAGACAGGGAAGTAATGCTGGCTTCTTGTGGAGAAATGGAAACCCACCCAAATGCTCCCAAACACCAGCCCTCCAGCACTAGACAGAGAAGTCATTGATACAGCCATCAGTGGAATTTCTAATAGTAGAATGCCATTGGAGTCATCAAAGAAAATGCATGCTTTTTTCTACATTGCAAAGATTATTGTGATCATCACAAAATAAGCTACATTTTAATGCTAAGTAAAATCATTAGATGGGACTGCCACACTGTCGCAGAAAAGATAAAGGAAGAATTAATTTATATTGATTTTACTGAACAGACAAATGCTACATGAATTCAAAAAATCAGTTTTCTTGAGCCTGCGGTTTCAATTTTAGCCATACTTTAAAGCTTCATTTCAAGAAAACATTTAAATTCAGAAAAGCATGTACACAAATTCAGATGTTGCATTCTGAAACATCAGATTTCCGTAACGTTGAATTCTTCCACTATTTGAATCCAAAATTCATGCAGACGTTGGCTTTCCCCCTTTAGTGATATGTGTGCTTTCCTCAGAGTTGGTCCATACTGGTAAACTTTTGATTCACAAAGGCTTCTGTAGAGACTTGAAAATTTCTTAAAATCAGGAGTTAAGCAACCCAGAATTAAGTGCAATGGGGCCATCATGTTCCATTAAGCTGAATTTTAGCTCTTTAAAACCCGTAAGCATTACCTAATTCTGGGTAGCTCAGCAGATCCAAACTTCAAATGTGACCAATGCAACCTTGGAAGAGATAAATTAAACTGGAATTTTTTAAATGGAGTTCCCATGGCCTTCATGTGAACTAGTTCAGTTATTCTATAGAAAGCATTAAAATATGGTAGCAATTCCAGGATGTAAGCTGGTAAAACCACTGGGGTTCACTTCTATAGAACGTCACTTCTGGAAGTTTTTCTTCTATATAACCAGCAACATGTGGACTTTGGACAAGAAGTCTAAACAATATCCTTAAAGACAATTCTCTTTTTCCCTTTCTTTGTCTTTGTTCAGGACCAAGTACAAGACCATGATCTTGACTAAAAGGCACAATTATTACCGTGACTCTTTATATTTTCAAGACCAATATACAGGCTAACATCATACATCAATCTTTCTGCTTATAGAAAGATAAACCCCTAATTTTTGCATTGGTTCTTCTGACATAAATTAGGTAAAAATATGGCCCTGGGTGAAGAAGTCACAGTTCAGTCTGTATGGCCTTTACCATTCATTCTTTTCTGTGGCTGCAGATGGCTAGAACAAGCTTTGGCTATTTCTTTAAATTAAAAAAGAAATGGTTAGGGCATCGTATATCAAGGGTCTTATATTTTAAATAATTCATACCTAGGTATTTAGATGTTCTCACTACTTTTTACTTTAATTTTAATTTTTTGTCAAATGTTTTGGGTTCTGCAGAGAGAGGAATTGACTAAACTTTGGTTTTAAATGTCCATGGCATTTAAATGAACAAGGAGCCATGAGACTGTGCTTCTGCAGTCTGTCTGAGGTACTACAAGAATCCCTTCTTTATGAACCCATGCTATTTGAAGCCACCATTTTCCTCTACAAATTTTTCAACCCTTTCAAGAATAAGCTATTATTAAAACTGAACAATGATTTTTCTCATATTTTTCAAGAATTTTGCTACAGGCAGGCATGACTGATAGTGTCTTAACAAACAGGATTCATAAGATGTACCAGTATATCCAATGAATCAGTCTTGACATTAGATCATTACACCTCAACCATTTGGACAGTCTTACAGAATTTAAAAATCTAGCTTATTTCTGTTTCATTTAAAAAAAAAACAACTCTTAACCATTGAAGCTAAAGAAGATATCATCCTGTTGTAAATTGAACTGAGACTCTTGACAAAGACCTCTGTACAGTTCACATCAGTTTAAAATCATACTTTTGATTAAACCAGATGAGATATTTTTATGTAGGTGAGGATTTTAGAAAGACCTTTCAGATTTTGATTTTGTCTCTATAATATTTGCTTTCAAATCTCATAATCTTATATTGACCTAAATGTAGCAGATGAAATAAGACTTTAGGGCAGTTAGCAAGAAGATTTCTATTTACTATTTCCATTCTATGAGAAGTGCCTATAAGCACTGTGAAATGTAGAATGCAGATATACAGAAGTCTCTTTCAACTATAAAGTCATTACAGTATTTATTTCCTATCCTAAGCAGATTAGCCAAGGAAACAACTACTAGTCTTTGTACTATTCAAATTGTGAGTCTGTATTTTCAGAATGTCTGAATCATACCTAGGACTTGCATATACCCTACTACTTTACTATCAACTACTGCTGTACATATTTGACTTAATCAATCATATGTACATGCAACAATACCAGAAAAATGTATGTACAGGTGCTAATAAGAGGCAAATTATATGCAACCCTTGAAAATGAGTATCAGAGTAAGTGGAGAAAAAGATACACTGTTTTCTCACTTTCTTAAAGTGAATATAATTTGGCAGGATCAGCAGCTTATTTGTAGACTCTACATAATATCTTATTGCAGGAAAAGAAATATTTTAGTACTGTAAAAAACGTGACAAAAGGAACTAACCCTGTAAAGAGTGAAGCTCAGAACATAACACTAGGGCTTTACCACAAATTCAAGCCATCCAGTAAGAGAGTGAGTTGGTCAGTGAACGGGAATGCAGTTAGCACCGCCTTGATGTCCCATTCAGTTCACAGACCATCCCAGAGAAGCTTATTTTGGAAACATAAACATAAGCAGAAAGCTGGGCAAACAGCAGAATAGCAACAGCTGTGACAGCTGGATTAGGTATCAGGCTTAGATTTAATAACAGGAATGAAAAAAAGGTGAGAGTCAAACTGAGATAAACACACTTAAATCCCGCTATCTATTCTTCACCAGGGAAAGGAGCAGCAATTAAATAGGACTTTTGGCAGCTGAAGGAACTTAGGGAGGTTTCTGGGACTGGGGAGGAAATGGATGCAATGTCCAAATGAGGTCCTGGTGGGTTTTTCCAATGCCAATGGTTAAAATTCCTGTTGCAAGTTCAACTCAGAGAAAAAAAACCAACAAACAAACAAAAACACCCCAAACCAAACCAAGCCATCTCACATAGCATTAGCACGCCGCAAGTAAGATTCACTTTTAAACCTATATTCCTAGGCTTTTATCTAAGTCTGCAGGAGCTAGGTAAGCTTACGCATAGTTTACGTGTTTAGATTTATAGCTCAACTCATACAAGATCAAGCAGGCTGTTACACAAAGATGCAACAACAGAACTGAGGTAGTTTTGCCCTCATTATTGTGCATAGCTTTGGTTGGCTTACTTTTAAAATCTATTTTAAAGTATAAATTCTCTCTAAAACATACTGATAAAATAAAGATATAGTAATCTGTAATATAATGAAAACACTTCGCTTTCTTTTCCTTTTAGATATTTTACTACGCACAACAATGGCTTTTTGGAACCAGAAGGAAGCCAAAAGAAAAAATAAATTGAATTGAATGGGAAAATAAACCAGTAAGTTGCACAAAAATTCAAAATGTTTCTTCAGAATTTTCCACACTGCAAAAGAACTGAGATTTAATAGAAAATTCTTTCTCATAGTTTTAATTTGACCATACTGTCAATCTCTATAGTAGAGGTGTGATTTTCTGTTGAAGGTTCAGAAAGGCTAGAAAAATATAATTGTTTCCTGTGGGATTTTTTCATAGCAGAATGTAGAATTTTTTATTGTCTGTTGGTTTCCATGTATTTGAGGTTCTGTTTTACTTGACTGAATTGCCAGGAATGAAAGTCATGGGTTGGGAGGCTGGAAGACAGCACAGTAACACTGCATTTCTATCTTTCATCTGAAGATCTGAAAGTATTCTTACAAACTATTATTACCTATTTATTTTATAGATAAAATCTCACAATACTGCTTTGAAAAAGAGATGAATTTGGCAGAGGAAAATTGGGGCATAGAGAGGCTAAGTGACTTCACACAAGAGAGGAAAATGGGCTAGAAGTACAGGTTCTTATTTACTGCTCTGTTTGCTGCTGTAGAGCCATGTGTCTTCTGAAACTGCATGTAGATTCATAAACAAAATATTATGTTTTTTTTTTCCTAGTCTGGTAGTCCAGAAACAAAAGGTTGCAACAGTAACGTTGTAATGAATGATAATGCATTTGCAGTTCCCTGAATTGAATATGTGAGGAAAGAGAAAAAAAGGGGAGTGGACAAGAAAGGGAAAGGGATGAGACCCTTTGTCAAATTAAGAAATGGAGTTTTCCGTAAGGTGTGGTAATTTTTTTTGTATGTCTACACCTCTAGGAATTTGAGTGATTGTCAAAAAACAACAGGTTTGCAGCTCTTGACAAAAAAGTCCCCTTTTTAACTGTGTAAGAGGCCAAAACAGAGAAAAAGTTTTCCTCCAGTTTGTATGCCACTCACCACTAACCTGCAGGGAGCACTCCAGGGTGAGGACATCATAAACAGAGCTGTGCGGTCCTCAGTTCAGATTTTTTGGCCACAGGT